AGAAAAACCCCCCAAAAAAAAAAAAAAAAAAAAAAAAAAAAAAAAGAAACCTCACAGCTGTTCAGTTCTTGAAGACTGTTCAGGATAGGAAATTACAGTCTTCAGCATATGCCTGAGGTCACCCATGTGTTCAGTGCTTGGACTGGCCCAGAGGTGGAGAAGGCCTGCACAATTCTTCCATGGAAGCATGCTCAAGGGAAGCCCTGACAAGTCTGGTTTGCCAAGAGTGATGGCAGGAACTGTTTGTATCCATCTCCTGTGAAGGTGCCAGGTTTTCATTATTGGCTGGTGAAATAATCTGTTAAACAGGATTGTATGCATGAGAGAATGAGATTGGTTCCTTGACACAGAATAAGTTTCTTACATAGGGCTGAAGTAAGAGGGCTATGAATGAGTGTTTGACTTCTCCACCTTTCACCTTTCTTTCTTTTTATAAGACAGAGCCTTGCCATGTCACAATCCTCCTGCCTCAACTTCTCAGCTGGGACTACAGGCACCACCACAGCCAGCCCTCTATTTTTAGACAGGGTCTTACTGTATTTTTCCACCTTAAACTCACAATCCTCCTGCCTCTGGATTATATGCACATACTACCTCACCCACTAAGCTTGGCTTTTAGATTGAACCAGCAACTAAGTGAAATGGGACCTCCCATGTGGCCCTAGCTCATGGAGGACAGGTTCTTCCAAGCCCATTTCACCACAGTGGGACATTTTTTCTGTTAACTGATGGCTATAGTTCTTACTAATCAGATGACAATAGATGAGACTATTATCAACAGATCATTTAGATCATATTTCTGAATAGCTCAACATTTTTATGATTACGATTTCTGATTTTTTTTTTTTACATTATAGTCAGCCTTCCTTTTCTGTGGATTCTGCATCCATGAATTTAACCAATCATGGATTGAAAATCTTTAGGGGAAAAAAACAATAAAAAATAACAACAGACTGTGCGACCTGTTTACAGGGTCAACATAACTGATTACTGTAGAGAAAAAGTTGTTTGTGAATTGCAAATAACAGTGAATTAATATTTATTAGATACACTTTATCAAAACAAGATATTAGCTTATTAAAACCTTCAGAAGGGACCAGCAGCTGGTGTGGTGGTGAAGGTGAACTCCCATGTGGTCTACCATGGTTCAAGGCCTGGACCCAGCAGCTTGAAACTCATGCTGGGCGCGTGTGCTTGCGTGCCCAAAATCCTGAGAGGAGAATGCAGGAGAAGGGAATGTGGCACAGCCATTGCCCCTGGTGGTTTCTCACTTTTTCTCTCTCTGACTCTGGCTAACACATGTGCCCTATTGCAAAAATCTCACACACACAAAAGAAAACCTTCAGAAATATTTTGGTAAGTATCCATCTATCCTTCAATGGATTGATACATCAACCTATCATTTAAACATCTGCTTAGAAGAAAAAAAGCATACTAGAGTCAGTATTTGTAGGGATTGGTTCCAGGACCCCCTCAAATAACAAAATGCCCATGTTCCTTAAATTAAATTCTGTATTATGTGCATATAACCAACATCCAGTCTCCTTTATACTTAAATCATCTATAAATTATTTATAATA